AACACATAAAACAAGAGAGATGATCGCTTTCTGTTTGAAGTTATGGGCATTGGTTGATGTCAAACAGACCTGTTTTTTCACTGTCCTGTTGCTTTCCATTGTATTTTGGGTTAAGTCCACTTCCCCCAAATGCCTACTCTGCAATGGGCACTATTCTAGATGCTTGGTAGGTATCAGCGAATTAAACAGACAAAGGCACTTCCTTCATGGGTGCTGGTCAGAGGACGGTTGGGGACAGAAAATAAATAACAAACATAATGAGTGAGTTACATAGTATGTTAGAAAATCGTAAGTGCTATGGAAAAGGGGCAGCAGGGAAAGAGGTTTGAGAAAAAGTGTGTGTAGGTGCACCAGTAAACAATGTGGTCATGGTGGGTCTCTTTAAGAAGGTGACATTTGAACAGACTTGAAGGACGAGTGAGCCATGGGCATTCTGGGGTTAGAAGAACATTCCATGCACAGAGACTGGTCCATCCATAAGGCCTGAGGCAAAATACTACTGGAAGTTGTACATATTTCCAGAACAGATTTTGTGAATCTGGCTTATTTGTGAGCAAAGGAATCTGTGTCTGTCAGATTTATTGTTTTTTAAGTACAGTCTCAATTGTCTATAACTCAAATACCTGGAAACTTCATATATCCATAATATACATGAGCACTATCAGAAAGAAAGAAAGAAAAAAGAAGGAAAGAAGGAAGGATACAAGGGAGGGAGGGACGAAGGAAGAGAGAACGGAAGGAAGGAAGAAATGGTCTCTGAGGACCAAAACCACTTAAGAGAAGAGGTCTCAGGCCTTCACTTACAGTTTTATATAAAATTTGATAAAGCTTGGTTACCTGGTATCCAAGCTTTTAACTGACCGAAAGGAAGGCATTTGAAGAGAATTTTGGCAGGATCAGTCCTGCCAATCAGATCTACAGACAGCAGTGAAAATTGATACTGACAGCCTGCCAATAAGGAGTCGACAAAATGCATCAACATCCAAGAGGCGCTTAAGCTAGAAGGTCACACTCAGAGTGCAGCAAGCATCCACCCTCCCTATAGGGCGCTGATACCACCACCTTGGAGCACACGGTGGCCATCAACTCAAAATGGCAACCATAACCCTCCCCCAAAAGTCTAATAACAGTATGATCAGCTTCAAAAGTTGGAGGGAAGGATTTTAGAGTATTTTAATTCACATGCATTACAAATTTTAAAAAGCTTTGTTGATTATAAAGAATTTTCAAATATACAGAAAACTTGAGCATCCAGGAAGCCTCATTCACAGAGAATACCAGTGAGGCAAAATCTTTTGGCACCAATTAAGGTGGTATTTATAATTAAAGTTGAAAGGGGGGGGGGGCGCCAGGGTGGCTCAGTTGGTTAAGCAACTGCCTTTGGCTCAGGTCATGATCCTGGAGTCCCGGGATCAAGTCCCACATCGGGCTCCCTGCTCAGCAGGGAGTCTGCTTCTCCCTCTGACCCTCTTCCCTCTCGTGCTCTCTGGCTCTCATTCTCTCTCTCTCGAATAAATAAATAAAATCTTTAAAAAAAAATAAAGTTGAAAGGGGTATGGGTGGTCTGGCCATTTATTTATCACTGCTACCAAAATTGCTCATCATCTTACCATTCTATTGCATATGAGTGTATTTTCTTTCTTAAGAAAGCAAGATGTGTGAACATCTGAATATAGGTATTTTAGATTATAAATCTGTATAAAATTCTATTTTTAGACTGTAAAAATATTTTGTTTTTTAAAAGCATTTATCAATTTTACAAAAAAAGTCACCACAAAGTATATTTTTCCTTCCTCTGGTTGATTTTTTTCCTTTAACTTTTTTTTTTTTAAGATTTTATTTCTTTATTTGACAGAGACACAGAGAGAGAACACAAGCAGGGGGAGTGGGAGAGGGAGAAGCAGGCTTCCCGCGGAGTAGGAAGCCCGATGTGGCACTCGATCCCAGGACCCTGGGACCATGACCTGAGCCAAAGGCAGACATTTAACAACTGAGCCACCCAGGCACCCCGTTGTTGTTTTTTTATTTCCTTTAACTTAGAAAATTTTAATTTACCCACAACTTGCCAGGCAAAAATCTGTTGTTACATGAAGGAAATTATATCAGCATTAAATGTAATCATAACACACCAGAGAATATTCATTTCATGAAATGGGCCTCCAACTCTAGAAGGTGCATTGGCTTTAAGAATTAAAAATCCAGGGCGCCTTGGTGGCTCAGTCGGTTAAGCATCTGCCTTCGGCTGGGGTTATGATCCCAGGGTCCTGGGACTGAGTCCCAAATCGGGCTCCCTGCTCCGTGGGAAGCCTGCTTCTCCCTCTCCCACTCCCCCGCTTGTGTTCCCTCTCTCACTCTATCTCTGTCAAATAAATAAATAAAATCTTAAAAAAAAAAGAATTAGAAATCCATTTTAGGCACATAGGGATATGAATGTCAGAGAAGGGTTGTCTTCTAACAAAATTAGTATTCACAGTTCTTAACTGCAATTTTTTTTTTAATTAGGCTAGTAATTATCAAGTACCTCAACAGCTACCCACTGCACCCGGAAGACATTAGTTCTGGTTTTTTGCCTTCTTTTACCACTTAGGTGTGGCAGAAAAGCAACGTTCTTTCTATCCCCTAGTCTCACCACCCCAGCAGCAGAGCCGTGACTCAGCCCCCCAACCCCTATCCCACAGCGAGGAAAGGTGATCTAAGGCCCCATTTCTAAAATGTAATGCTAGAAATACTCACCAACGCTGAGTTTAAGCTAATATGTTTTTAAAGATGATCTGAGTAGGAAACACTTCTTATTAAAAATAATCAATCATGGTTGCTGTCTCTTCTGTTGTGGTTCTAATTAATACTCTAAGAGGCTTGCTAGAAGGATAGACAATGTGGCTTATTTGTTTTCATTCCTTTTGATTGACTATAGAATCTTTGTCAACTCCAGTCCTCAGCATTTGGCGCAAACATGTCAAATCTGACTCCATCTCCTCCTCAGAAATATTTATTTTCATATCTTTTAGCTCAAAAGTCCAAAGTAAAAACTATACAGGCCTCAAAAGACATCCATAAAACCACTTTTATTCATGTCCCATTTCCCATACCAAACACAAATTGAAAAACAAAAAAAATCAGAAAGGACAATATATTATAGATTAAATAACTGCAATTGAAAATTTATAAAAAATAAATTACAAAAATAGAGATGTGTGGCATCATTTAGTGTTAATTGAGCTTTCTATGTTGACAAAATGGAACCTAGAGTCAGATGACAAAATTCTGTGAAATAGATGATTAAATTGCAAGAGAAAATCTGGAGGCAGCCTCTTTTAGAAGCTACTTAACATCCTAATTTTCTATGATTTTATATAAAACTGTGAGATGAACTAAGCCAGGCAAACTCACATCAAATTACGATGTCTATACACTCTGGAGGCCTGTTAAAGTGTTTTAGGTAATATATAAATCTAAATGCACCTGAGATAGAAGTGTTTTAGTGTCACTGATAAGACTTTAGCACCAGCCCAACGATACTGGAACAATCACTAAATATGCTATTTTCAAATTGCTACTTACTATGACTCAATATTCTAGAAATTTGTGTGCTTTCATATAGATGATGATGACCCTGAATTTTGGAAATTACCGTGTCAAAGATTGTAGCTTTTAACGGAACACAATTTTGTTCTGATGCTTATACATTTTGGCTGAATTTGAATCAGGCATTGTTAGATTTTTAGTCATTGCATTAAGGACTTGTAAAATATTTGTGTGGGAGGAGTGAAAGGGAAAGAAAGGGTAAGAAATAGATTAAGTATATGAGGGAGGTGGAGGAAGATTTATTTCAAGTTAAAAAAGTAATTTTAGCCACAATGCCACAAAGGAATAACATACGAAAGTTAATAACTTACGTATTGTGATGGTGGACTTTATGTGTCAACCTGACTGGGCTAAACAATATCCAGGTAGCTGGTAAAACATTATTTTTGAGTGTGTCTGTGAAGGTGCTTCTGGAAGAGGTTAGCATTTGAATCAGTAGACTGAGCAAAGGTTGCTCTCACCAAAGTGGGTGGGCATCACCTAATCCATTGAGGGTCCAAATAGAACAAAGAAAGTGGAAAGGTGAACTTGTTCTCTGCCTAAGCTGAGACATTCATCTTTTCCTGCCCTGAGACACTGGCTCCCCTGGCTCTCAGGCCTTCAAACTCGGACTAAATCATACCACCATCTTTCCTGGTTCCCCAGTTTGCAGATGGCAGATCATGAAACTTCTTGGCCTTCATAATCACATAAGCCAATTCCTATAATAAACCTCCGTGTCTATGTATATTATGTCCTATCGGTTCTGTTTCTCTAGAGAATCCTGACTAATAAGCATGCCAAATGAGATATAGGGAGGGAAAATAATTATTTTATTCATGAAAGTTGCCTTCAAGAAATTCTCACTCTTTTATGAGGTGGTCTCCCATAGAGAAAAGAACATAGATTCTGGAGGCCAGCAGACCTGGGTTTAATTTCCAGCTCAGATATTTTAATAAATTTGTATACCCAGGAAAATTAGGTAAATTGCAGAGCCTCGGTTTTCTCATTTGTTGACAGATTATCTAGATAATTAAAATTTATAACAAGTACAGATCATGTACCACAGTGTTTGGAATGCAGAGGGCATTCCTTTCTAATCTTTCCTCATAGTATTTACCCATACTATGTTGTTTCAGATTGACTTTTTAAAATGTTTCTAGATTTGCCTAATGTTTATGTCATTTTAAAATGGATCTTTTAAATTTTTTCTAGATGTATCAAAGGTTTATATAAAGTTGTCTTTACTATTTCCAGCACTCTCCAGTTCTGTTTGTTCTGGAATCTTCCAAACAAGAGGGTTTCTGAGGAATAATCCAAGATAGAACAGCTGACAGAATATGTACACTGCCTTGAAAGCCAAAATATTACAGTCAGAACATGTTGGACTGTTGCGTGGCCCCAAACGAGGCAGTGTTACGTTGTCTGGTACTCACTTTGCATTCGCCGTGTTGCATGTGGTCAGATTAGCTAGGGCGAGGGCCGCGGCTTCCCTTACTTCTTCACTGTCACTCCTGAGCGACTGAATTAACTGTGGAATCCCTGCAGAAACCGAAAGGGAAGATGTGGGTCTATAAACATCCAGGTAAACGACAGTTTGGTGGCCTAAAAATGGGTCTGTCTGGTTTGCTTACCCTGATTATTGAAAAATTCTTTGCTGCCTGAATTCTCACACATCACCGAAATAGCTTGGGAGGCAGCAATTTTCGTTCCATCATTTTCAGAACCCAAAAGGGCCACAAGGCATTTTTCTACCTCCTGTTCGTGAAAGAGTTTTCTATTTTCAGCTTGCATAAACCAAGAGGGGAAAAACAATCAGAATGTTGCTGCAAAAACTGTGCAAGGGTAACTACTTCCTCATCTAAAATATAACAGGAATTCAAACTATTTCTTAGCTTTAAAACTAAACAAAATATACACCTGTTTAACCTTTAGAACACAGTGATTATGCAAAATGACTTATGGATACTGGAATTTTTTCACTAATATAATATCAATAATGCAGCAAAGAAAATTCTAGGGGTGCCTGGGTGTTAAGTCTCGTTGGTTAAGCCTCTGACTCTTGGTTTCAGCTCAGGTCATGATCTCAGGTTTGTGAAATCGAGCCCTGCATCAGGCTCTGCGCTCAGTGCGGAATCTGCTTGAGATTCTCTCTCCCTCTCCCTCTGTTCCTCCTGCTCGTGCTCTCTGTCTCTCTAAAATAAATAAATAAATCTTTTTAAAAAAATGACAATTCTATAATAAGAAAAAGGCAAGTTTCAGATTTACAGAGAACTTATTTAACGCCAATCATGGGGCCTGGCGTGGTGCCGTGTTCGCAATGCTTTCTTCACACTAAGGACAAAGCCCTGTTGATTTGATGTTCACTTTAAATACAAAACTCAATATTTGAAGAATGCCTAAGGTGTACAAACTGGCATGCTGGATGCTTGAGAGAAAAAGAGAGGAGAGGAGGAAGTGAAAAAGGAATAATAGAGTATGATCCCAAGTCTTAAGGATTTATAATCTTATATCAAAAAATCATAATCATTTTTTACCTTGTTACCATACATGCTGTTGTAGCAAAAATTAAATATTTAATTGCTAAATTACCATCAATATAATCTAAACATATATTAGCATGATTTTCTTTGTTTGAAAACAAATAAAATTATGACTCTAAGTACATACCATATTCAATCCATCATAGAACACTAAATGAAAAACCCAAGTATTTTTTTATGTTCTTTTTGTTCCCTAATGTTTTTCTCTTGATTTTGTTTCATTTTTTAAATAAATGACAACCTCATTACTGTACTAAGCAAACACTACATTAAACTAAATTAGAACATTAAAACCTAATTTTTTGTTCTGTGTTCTATAGTTAATTCTAAATAAGTTACTATTTATTAAAGACATGGTCTCGAAAAAAGGTATATTAACCAAATTCAATTTTAATGCCATAAGAGGTACCAGAGACTAGTTTGAAAAGCAACAGCTTACAAATAATTCTTTGCTAATTTACTTAAAGTTCCTTCAAAAAACTTTGTCTTAGGGTTGATTCTCCATGAATTGACCTTCATAAACACAATTTTCTTGATTAAAACAGAAGAATGTGTGATATAGGCTCTTAGGATGTTGAATACATAAGAGATTATTCTGTTAGAATAAAAATCTCTGCAAAAACTGCTGATACTAATTTAGGTCATACATAAGATCTGCATGTGGAAGTAATTCATTACTTACATATACTGTAATTAACTTGTTTTTCCAGGAATATTCTGAGAAGTTATCGAAACTGGTTTTCCACTTTAAAGTTAATATACGATTTCTATCTTCCAACAATGAGTTTTTTAAATTGCCCCCCTCACAGAAGCAGAATCACATTCAGATGCCACCATCTTTGCAAACATTTTTGGCCTTTGTTCATCGGATACACCGCAATCTGATCATAACTGGCACCAGCTAAATTACTACCACTTCTGTTCATTTGTCTTAAACCAATTATGAACCATGTCCTGTAATCCTATCATTTTAATCCCTTGCTCCTTTCATTTAAAATTAGGACTCAGTCAGGTCAGAATTGTTTTATAAAAATGTTGCGATTAATAGTTAAATCTCAAGTATGTGGCTTTTGAAATGTTTTAAAATATATGTAGTCCTGATTAGTAATCCCTGAATAAACAAGATCTGAAAGTTTTCTAGAGTCTCTGACCTAAAATGCTTAGATTTATAATTAAGACTTCCCTGAATCTCAAGCTCTAAATTAACTTCACTAAACAGAACAGTCTGAGAGTAAATTCTACCAGGGAAATCGGCCAAAAGAATTAATTTGTAAAGACTAACTTTGGAGTATGCAGTTGTAATGCAGTTTTTGCATTCAAAAAACATTATATATGCCATTACTGGAAAGATTTTTCAAAATAATCTAAGTACTGTGGGCAATTAGTTTCTCAGCCCTGCTGGGAGTGTTCTCAAAACCCAGCTGTGTTCACCAAACCTCAAAAGTGCTGACTGCAGTGTGGCTATAATCGATTTAAAAGATGAATTAACATATTAACCAAGTACCTTCATTGAATTGCTACACCAAGAAGTAAAGTATTTATGTTTTAATTACACAGATAATAAAGATGGCAAGGTAATTATGCGACTAATAGAGTAATGTCCTTTACAAAGAACATTTGTGCAGTATCACTAAAATAAAAAGCATGAGGTTTTGTAACTGGAAATAAATCTGCACGTAATGATGCTTTCTTCACCCACTCTCGGAAGTTGCTATTGTACCACTTTTGCTCCTGCTGAGATGTTAATGCCAGTTCATAAACCTCATGGCAATGTGGTAATTAACACCTTCCTCCTCCTGGCGCCAGGTCAAAGGCATACTGGTCTGGGCTTTCTATGGTGGGGTGGGCACACAGGTTAAAAAGTACTCAACAAACAAAACTTCAAGGTTGTGTGTTACGTGTTTGTGTGTTTCAACTGTGTTTCTGACATGCAATGACAATGCATTACCTAATCTACAAAAAATGTTTGATGATGATGGAAAGTAAAAAAAAATGTTATAAACGAATCCTGATGGTTACATTATTCTTAATAACAGGATAAAGAGCAGTATTTGTTAAAATCTGCTTATGAATGGAGTTTTCTAACAGGGCAAATAGCTTCTCTCATTTGGTAGGTTGTCTTTTAGTCTTGCTGATTGCTTCCTTCGCCGTGCAGAAGCTTTCTATTTTGATGTAGTCCCCCAATAGTTTATTTTTGCTTTTGTTTTCCTTGCCTCAGGAGACATATCCAGAAAAATGTGGCTACGGCTTATGTCAGAGAAATTACTGCCTGTGCTCTCTTCTACGATTTTCTAAATGTGGAAAATTATTTTGAAAATTCACAATTATGTATTTTCAATACAGAAATATTAGGAGATAACTTTGTGAATCCTTGTTAAGTTTTTAGAGTTTACCATTGTTACTAATTAATATAAAATAAAGCATGCTCGATCTGGCTAGGTCTGGCAGAGAGAAGTCAAGACAGGCAAGAGTTGATATAAGAAGGGGTAGACAAGAAATATAGGTAGGGGTTGAAAAAAAAGCACAGTATATATAGAATGGAGGCAGGGCAGAGGAGGTGGTTATTGTCGATCTGGCCATGTAAACAGCATAAGGAGGTAAATAGATAAACAGAAGAGAATAATTAGCTAAATGACATGTCTATAAGATTTAGGAGCTGGGAAGTTAATGTCAAATTCTACAAGGACTGTTTTGGCAGAATGGTAGAAGCAGAAGTCACATGCTTAAGGATAAGGGATGGAGATAAGATATTGCTAATCTGTGGGGAATCTCACCATCAGTTGTTTGTTCCCTTAACCCTAACTGTACTTTGGAAAGTAGTCCCTTCATTTGTCTCTTTATTTAAACTGTCTGGAGATTACAGAGCTGGTTTTTGCCAAGACCATATTTGATGATAAATGGCAATCTTAATATCAAACTAGAATTTAAAGCTAAAAATCAATTAAATGAGATTTTTTTTTAAAAAATCAATAATTGATATAAAATAACATTAAATAAAGCAAAGTTAGTTAAAATAAAATTACAAGAAAAAATCAACAGAAATAACATAGTGAGAAACTTCTAACATACCACTCTTCTTCTGTGATAGATCAAAGAATAGATAAAAAATAAGGATGACAAAAACTGTACAATGTAGTTTATAAAGCTGAGCTAAAAGGCAAATATCAAACTCTACATTCCACTGGAAATACATCTTTTTTCTATTCAACAAATATTTATCCACTTATTTTATTCATTGTTTACCTTTATCTTCTAGAACAGTGCCTTGCATATAGCATGCATAGAATAAATATTTGTTTAGTAAGCAAAGAACATACCTTTTCAAGATTTCATAGAAGACTAGTATACACTGATTATTTCCTAGACCTCAGTGAAAATGCAATATTATTTCCAAAGCAAAATTTGCATTTCTTAACTACAAATCAAAAAATGTTAGAATTTAAAATGGAAGACTTTGAACTCTGGGTCCTGATGGAGAAATGGGATCTGGGGTTCACTGTAGGTCTTTCCCTCAAAGTGTTAGCTCAGTTTGCTGACATGGTCAAAAGGCTGATTAAAATACTTGCTTCATAAAACTGAAATTAAAAATAATCATAAGATATTTTTATATTACATAAAATGACGGTGCATGTTTTTAAAATGCTGTTCATAATACATATCACCCTACTTCAAAGAGGGTATTGTGAACAAGATAAAGTCCAGAAAAAGTAAGAGGATGATTATAGGATAGCCTACAGACGTGATATATGGGGAAAGACTAAGTAAAATATAGATTCTTCAGTCTGGAAAAATGGTGGTTAAAGGAAACATGAAAAAAATCACAAATGACATAGATGTAATAAATACAGACTTAGTCATTTGATTCTAAAATAGTGAGGAGACACAATTTGGAACTGGAATATAGTCATTTTAGAACTAACATAAGGAAGTAGATTCATAAAACATAAAGTGCCAGATGGAATTTAAAGACTGTCTGGTTGAGTTTCTTTGTATTACAAATAAAGAATGGATTTCAACAAATGGTGCTAGGAAACTGGATTTCCACTTGCAAAAGAAGGAAGTTGGATCTTTAACTTACACCGTATACAAAAACAACTCAAAGTGGATCAAAGACCTAAACATTAGAGATAAAACTATAAAATGCTTGGACAAAAACAGGGGAAAATTTTCCTGACATCAGATTTGTTAATGATTTTTTGAATATAACACCAAAAGTACAGGAAACAAAAGAAAAAATAAATTGGATTACATCAGAATTAGAAACTGTGCATCAAAGGACACAATCAATAGAGTGAAAAGGCAACCCATGGAATGGGGGAAAATATTTGCAAATCATACATCTGACAAGGAGTTACTACCCACAGAATATATAAAGATCTCCTACAACTCAATAATAACAACAACAACAAAACAACAACAAAAAAACCCAACCTGGTTAAAAAATGGGCAAAGGATTTAAGTAGATATTTTTCCAAAGAAGAGAAACAAATGGACAATAGCACATGGAAAAAATGCTCAACATCACGAATCATTAGAGAAGTACAAATCAAAACACAATGAAATACCACCTCATACTCATTAGCATGGCTATTGACTAACTAATTAAATAAACAACATAGCAAGTATTGGTGAGAATGTAGAGAAATTGGAACCCTTGTGTCCTGTTGATGGGAATGTAAAATAGTGTAGCTGCTATGGAAAACGGTATGTCAGCTCCTCAACATATTTAACACAGAATTACCATATGATCCAACAAGTCCAGTCAGTATACCCCAAAGAACTGAAAACAGGGTCTTGAAAAGCTATTTGTATATGCATGTTCATAGCAGCATTATTCACAGTAGCCAAAAAGTGGAAGCAACCCAAGTGTCCATTAATAGACAAATAGATCAACAAAATGTGATATATACAATACTATGGAACACTCGTCAGCCTTAAAAAGGAAGGAAATTCTGATGTATGCTAGAACATGGATGAACCTGAGAATAAGTCACGCAAAGTGAAATAAGCCAGTCACAAAAGGACAAATATTGTATGGTTCCCCCTATATAAGGACTTAAAATAGTCAAAATCATAGAGACAGAGAGGATGGTGGTTGTCAGGGACTGCAAGGAGGGAGAAGTGGGGAGTTTGTTGTTCCACAGGTACAGGGTGTCTCTTTGGCAAGATGAAAAGAGTTCTGGAGACGGATGTTGGTGATGGTGGCACAAAAACATGAATGTACTTAATGCCACTGAGCTTAAAATTGGTTAAGACAGTAAACTTAATATTATATGTGTATTTTACCATAATTTCTATTAATTAATTAATTTATTTATTTATTTATTTATTTATTTATTTTAAAGTTTATTTATAATCTCTACACCCAACATGGGGCTTGAACTCATGACCCTGAGGATCAAGAGTCACAATGCTCCACCAACTGAGCCAGCCAGGCACCCCTTTTACCACCATTTTTGAAAGAATAGAACTCATTTCTTTTCCTTTCATCAAAACCAGCTCCTCTTCTTGAGTTCCCCATTTCTGTGAATGGCACCATTCTACCTCCAGCCGTCCCAGCCAGAAACCTGGCCTTATTCTTGGCATCGCCTTCTTCCTCCTCCAACCCATGTAGTCAATCAACAAACACTTATGGGCCCTCCCAATGTGCCAAGCACTGTGCTGGTGGTCCTCCTTGCAAATGTCTGTTTCAGGATACTTTCACCTTCCACCTAGATTACCACAGCAATCCCCTTCCTGGCCTTTTCTGGGTCTGGTCCTGCACACTTCTAATATCTCCTCCACTTTGCAGCAAGAGGCTTCTTTCTTTAAAAAGTGAGTATCTGTAATGGTCCCTCACCTCTCTAAGCCACTTCAGTGGCTCTTTGTTGCCATCAAAATAAGGTCCAAAGTCCTTAACTTGGCCTCTATCACCCATTTGCATCTGGCTCCTCATTACTTCTTCAGCTTTCACTTTCAGTTTTCTGCTGCATTATATTCACTAGCCATTCTGAAAATTTTCAGTTCTGGAATTTACCATGCTCTGTCTCTCCTCTGGCCTTTATACACCGTTCCTTCTCCTTGGAGCACTGGTGATCCTTCCCCATCCCACCACGACCTTCTTTGCCCAGCCAATTTCTATTATTTACTTCAGGTCCTAGCTTGTAAATCACCTATGTCAGGAAGATCTATCTGATCCAAGTTGACTTTAGGTGGCCCCCACAAGTGATCCTGTTCTTCTAGCATCAAGCTCATTTAACACTACAGTGTGATCACCCGTTTCCTTGCCTGTTCTGGGTTTATTGACACAGAGTGGGGGCTCAATAAATCATTAATAAATAGGTCCAGAGAGGCTGTGGTTCACTCATAGTCACAACCTAGGTCATCGCAGTGCCAGTAGTGGGACTAGCAGTAGAACTGGACCACCAGGGACTCTCCACCCAGTGCTCTTCCCACTGCTACATCACATGATGAGTAATAAACTCATGAAACTCACTATCCCAAGAGGGGCTGCGACCATCTTGAAATGGTCCAACCACATTAGACGAAAGAGAAATTGCAAAAATTTTAGGTCTGATATTGTCCGTGTCTTGCCATTGCCCTTTCTTTTGGTCTCAAATAGCTAAGAAGTCCTGAGAAAGTTGGAAAACAGAACTGATCAGGTTTGATAAGGTCTAAATTCCATATGACAGAATACTGAATCAAGCAACTTTTTCCAGTATTAAAAACTTTAATTTTACAGCCTGTTTAGATTTGGCAACTTCCCTCTATGTTAACTATGTGCTGGATGGTGAAACTCAACTTACTGCAATAAAACTCTGCCTTGAAGAAATCAGTATGGATTAAGAAGGAAATGTTTCCCATAATATATACACAGACATATATACAGATGTGAGTATATATGTTTAGAATATAAATCACTTAAACCTAGTCAAAACTGTCATCATTTATAAGAGGAGTGATGTGGAAGGGGGAAATAAAATCACTTCTTTTATTAAATAAAATACTCCAAATATACATAAATTAAAACTATAATTTCATCTTCAGTGCTTGTGATGTAATTAATCTCTCATATTTTACAGATTTATGTCAACATAGCTTGCCACTGAAATGAAAATTGTATTATGTATATAGTATGAGCATATTATTTTTCACAGCTATATCACATGGCTCTGCTAGTCTCCGGCTGAAGTTGAAGTTACTGTATAGATATCATTCCATATCGAAACAATGTTTTCAGGATCACAAACAATGCATGAATTCTGTAAAATTTCAAAATCAAGAGAAATAAAGGCTTAAAAACTTAATTTATGAATGAATTACTTTAAAAAGTAATTAAATCATAGAGTTTATTATATCCCTGACAAAGCAATCTCTACTTTTACTCATTGGCATTAGGATGAATTTTGGCCCCAAATAGTAAATATGGCACTATTCTCAGATGACCATTTAAAAGCAGACAAATACTCTAGTGCTTATTAGTACTAATCAAAATCAAGAATAAAAGAGGAAGTATGTGTGCTTAGTTTATACAAAATAAGACATACGGTCATAAGCTGCTTTAGTTATTGCTTTTGCTGCATTCTTCTGAATATCAGGAATTGTAGAGTTTTCTGCAAATGAGAGGAGCTTCTTAAGACCCCCTGTCTGCTGAATGAGCACCAAAGTATCCATATCTTCAAGGCAATTTGCTATCACAGAAAGTGCTTCTATATGAAGGTCATTCAATTCCTAATAATAAAAGCAAACACAACTTTAGAAAATTGTAATAAAAGAGATTGATACTTCCCAAATTTCACTATAAGACAAAGGTCAGTCAGAACGTAATGCTGTTAACTTTGTTGTGACAGATGTCCAAGGAAACAGTTTTGTTTATGATCATAACATCGCTCTCCCTCACAATTTGCCCCATCTCTTCTTGTTTCCCCTACTCCAAAGTGTTCCACAGATAAAAGATAATTACTGGACATTTCCAGTAATGGTAGCCAAAGTGAAGTTGCTCATACAAACTTCTACCAATAACAATTTTAAAATCTGAAGAAAATATTCTTTGAAAAAGCAGACAGAAGCTGAAGAAAAGTGTATTCCTTAAAATCTCCTGGGGTAGAGGAAGTATTGTAAGTTTGTGGCCCTCTTGCCTGAGGAATTTCCCGAATCCCCATCGCTGTGGAAAACTGCGGCCTTGCTGGAACAGCGAGATGTTTAAAGTGGGAATCCTTAAAGTGAGAGGAACACAGGAAGGATGCTCATGGAATTCCCTGTCTTACCATGATGGCCGCCATCCTGAAGCAACTGGCTTGACAGAATGGCCTTTTGAAGACTTAGTTACCGTGTCAGCAAAGTGGCAAAACCTTGCAGGGGCCTGGGCAAGGTTCTCCACGAGGTTGTTATGTTCCGAATCAGCATCCAATATATGGTGCCGTTTCTCCCATAGCCAGTGATGGTGGGTCCCAGAATCAAGGGGTGGATATGAGTGTGGCAGCACTCATGATTACCCCTAGGGACCCACTAGCAACATTTTTGCTTCCTGACTCCCAGACCTTATGCTCTGCTGGCCTAGAGGTCTTAGTTCCAAAGGGGAGAATGCTTCCACCAAGAGACACAACAATGATTCCACTGTACTGGAAGTTAAAACTGCCACCCAGCCACTTTGGCCTCCCCATGCCTCTAAAGCAGGCAAAGAAGGGAGTTACAGTCCTGCTGGGGTGTCTGATCCCAGTTACCAAGGGGAAATTGGACTGCTACTCCACAGTAGAGGTAAGAAGACTATATCTAGAATATAGGAAGTCCTTAGGGTGTCTGTCAGTATTACCATGCCTTGTGATTAAGGTCAATGGAAAACTACAATTACCCAATCCAGGCAGGACTACTAATGGCCCAGACCCTCAGGAATGAAGACATGGATTACCCTACCAGGTAAAGAATCACATGCAGCTAAAGTGCTTGCTGAGGGCAAAGGGAATATGGAATGTGTATTGAAGGAAAGTTAGTTATAAATACCAACTACCACCATGTGGCCACCTATAGACAAAAGGGTTGTAACTGCCATGAGTATTTCTTCCTTATTTTGTTAAAAATAAGTGTGTATGTGTGTATTATGAAATATCGTTTTTTTCCCCCTTTCTTATCCCCTTAGGTAACATAAGATGTACTAACTTTAAAAATTAGCATTAATTTTACATCATAGTGTTTAAGTTACAGAATATCAAGGAGAAGAGTAAACATCATTGCATCCTGTCTGGAGAAAGGGTTAGTATGTTTTGGTTGTACACAGGACAGTTATATCATTCCAGGCAGAAGTAGGACCTTGCTACTGCCTTTATTTGGAGACTGAGTATGATTCAAGGAGATGTGTATGAGTGCCAAATTTATAAGTGATGAACTTATGATGATTAATTTTCATGTTTTAACTTGGCTAGGCCAAGGTATCCATGTATTTGGTCAAACATTATTCTAGATGTTTCTGTGAAAGTATTTCTTTAGATGAAAATTATATTTAAGTCAATAGACTGAGTAAAGCTGATTACTCTCCACATTGAGGAGTAAGTCACTCTTCTTACTTTTCCTTTGAGAAAATTATGGCCGAGAAAGCCTAAAAGACTAATTCTAGGTATTTCAGGAAATCATAAACAAGATCCTAAACAAGAATTTAAAAATCTTAAATTTCTAAACCAGAAGATAACAAAATTATTTTATAATGGCCTCTGTCATAAATCTGATTTAATCATGCTGATAAACAATGTAGCAATAAGCAAATTAGTCCATTATACTTAGTACTATGCCTAAATATATTAAAATTTCATTTTAAAAAAATATTCTATAATTCACATTTTATAACAACATTTAGAAGAGACACATTTCCTTGTAGAGAGTTGAATGAAAGTTACAAATACCTTAGTTTCTAGGATTTTAAGAAGGTGGTCCATTCCTTGATTGTCCCTTAGCATAGCCCGTGCCTCCTTATCATTTGTAATAACACCTAAGGTTTTGAGAGCCAACAATTGAATAATTGGATATTCTGACTTCAAGAGATCTAATATAGGGGGGACTGCATTTAGTTCTTGAAGTGTAGCTCGACACTGAAAATCCTGCCATGAAATACAAATGATCAAATAAGTAACTTTTAAAGCAAAATACAGTTAGTCTCAAGAATGGAAAACTCTATCTTCTAACAAAGGACATTATAAGTTATAAATATCCCATCTTTTATTCCAGATTCCCTTCCAAAATACCTCACACAAAAAATAAGCAAACTTTCAACTGACAACACCTAAATATTCATTTTAACTCTGCAGACATTGTCAATAACAGGAAATAGATGTGATCTATGACTTCTGCAGTTTTTATTGTTTCTTTATTATCTGGCAAATTCCTTTTATTACAAATAGCATTACAATAAATCTGTGCATAATCAAATTCTTTTCACACTCTGTACCTTGTTTCAAATAGTATTTGATAAAACGAAAGGATGGCATCAATTCCTTATTATCTTTATTTAAATGGAATGTTTATGAAATGCTTACATGCACTCAATGCTGTTGGCAGACCCTGTGCACACAAATTTTTATCAGGTTTAGTTCAGACACATGACCTTTGTTTAAGACATTTACAATATCAAGGGGTCATTAGAGTCTAGATGAGTTGCTCCGCAGTGTGTGTCTATAATTTTGTGTGTGTGAGTGGTGGGGAGAGGGCTACTCGGGGGTCAGGAATGGAGAAAACAGAGCAATAAGTCATGAAAAGCCCCTGAACTCTGACTGCTAAATCATGACACTTAAAAGCAAAACATCATAAATGTAAAATAGTATTAAAGGTGGAAAAACCCTACTAACTTAGGTTTCTCTATCCATTCTTCAATGAATGCTTCCTACAGATATAAAAATTGTGGGTTGCTATTTGTTATAGGTTGAATTGTGTCCCTCCCAAAATATAAGTTGCAAGTCCTAACCTTCAAAATGTGACCTTATTTGGAAATAGGGTCATTATAGATGTCATTAGTTAAGATAAGTTCATAGTGGAGTAGGGTGGGTACTTAATGGTGTCTTCATAAGAGTGGTGTCTTTATTTTTTTTTAAAGATTTTATTTATTTATTTGACAGAGAGAGACACAGCGAGAGAAGGAACACAAGCAGGGGGAGTGGGAGAGGGAGAAGCAGGCTCCCCGCAGAGCAGGGAGCCCGATGCGGGGCTTGATCCCAGGACCCTGGGATCATGACCTGAGCCGAAGGCAGACGCTTAACGACTGAGCCACCCAGGCGCCCCAAGAATGGTATCTTTAAAAGAAGATGAGACACAACAGAGGGAGAGATTGCAATGATGAAGTTGTAAACCAAGGAAATTAATATACTGTTATTAACTAGTATACTTCTGTTCTGAAGAATAGTGAAGGCAAGCTTTTCATTTCTGTTTGATAAAAAAAATACAGGGAAATAAAAGCTATGAGGAGTCTTGAGATGAAAGACACTAACACATTGACAGGGTTATTTAGGCCTATGGGCTGAGAGAAGGTAAACAGCTGAGCTTCCTTCAGCATGTCTCCCTCAGGCAAGAGCAAGGGCAGAAGCCAGTGAGTGCCCAGCCATGTGGCAATAACTTCTAAGGCCAGGAATGTAGGTATGCTTTGCTGTCTTTGGGCACAAGCTCATTGCCTCTCCATGAAACGGAGGCCTCATTTTCACTCTCTCTTCCTTTTATACTCCACTGCTGGCTATTTAAGATGGTGTTTTTGTATCTTCAGTTGATCTAAAGCTTATCAAGTGTGTGTGGGAACTGTTCAGGAACCTGAGCAGGAAAAGAAGCAGAGAAGGCTGTCCAGTGTCAGGAAGCTGACCTGCTATGGGTGTGAGTGTGTGTGTCTTGTGGGGCTGCAGCAGGGGCAGGGACACAGAACAGCGCAGAGGGGAAGAGGCCAAGGGAGGCTGTTTCTTTCCATAACAAAGGAAGACAGTTCAGTGACAGCATCTTCCAATTGTGAACAATGAGTTCTGTTCGGTGTACTCAACTCACTGGGTCTTCACCAATAAATAAGTCTAACCCAAACTGTTGGTACACTGAATAAGGCATATATTGCACCCAATGTGCTTAGATCACCAAGGTTAGGTCAATAAATAACTGCCCAAGTCAAACTTAGTTCAATATATTAGATATCCTTTTTCAGAAGAAATACATTCAGGGCGCCTGGGTGGCTCAGTTGGTTAAGCAACTGCCTTCGGCTCAGGTCATGATCCTGGAGTCCCGGGATCGAGTCCTGCATCGGGCTCCCTGCTCAGCAGGGAGTCTGCTGCTCCCTCTGACCCTCTCCCCTCTCATGCTCTCTCTCTCTCTCATTCCCTCTCTCAAACAAATAAATAAAATCTTAAAAAAAAAAGAAGAAATACATTCATCTAGTATAATCCTGCCTTAATTTGCAAGCCATTCTATTCTTTCAAAATTTAAATACACTTCTAAAATGCCCTTTCATAGACCTGTACTCTGAAAAGTATAAAACACTGAAAGAAATTGAAGAGGACATAAAGAAAAGGAAAGACATCCCATACCCATGGATTGGAAGAACAAAGTCTATACTACCCAAAGCAATCTACACATTTAATACAATCCCTATCAAAAGACCAACAGCATTTTTCACAGAGCTAGAACAAACAATCCTAAAATTTGTATGGAACCACAAAAGACCCTAAATAGCAAAGCAATCCTGAAATAAATTCTATAAATAGGTATGGTCAAAATACACTTTTAGAAATTATCCTCACCTGGACCAAGTTGTAAATGCACTCAATAGAGTTCTTCTTCACGTCAGGGTCTGGGCTGGCCAGCAGTCTGATGAGTGGCTCTAACCCACCATGCTCAAATATTTGCACTTTGCCGGTATACTCTGCAGACATGTTCGCCAGGCAAAGACTGGCAAACTCATGGATAACCACTTCCTCTGCACATCAGAGTTAAACAACACAAGTATGCAAAAGGCTTACTGAAACATTACTTTAAAACATGTTTTGAAAACCAAAGCTTCACAAATCTTACTTGGTTGGAGCCCATCTTGGTTTGAGAGATTTTAATGACAATTCACAACTGATACTACATAAACTATTTTCGATGAGTAGTTCAACCCAATGTGAAAAATAAACCAGCCCCACTTTTGAAACAGATGTACGATGGAAAGTTACCTTCTGGAGCAAGCTGAGCAATGATGGAATTCATGACATCTAACTCCCTTAACAATTTTTTAACATCATCTATAAAAGGAGACACAGAATATTAATGTTTATTAAAAATAATAATAATGGTGATGTTATTGAAATAGTCCCTTATGAGGTAGGCTTTATTATTACCTAATTTTACAGATAAAGAAATTGAGGCTCAGGGCGCCTGGGTGGCTCAGTTGGTTAAATGACTGCCTTCGGCTCAGGTCATGATCCCGGAGCCCCGGGATAGAGTTCCGCATTGGGCTCCCTGCTCAGCTGGGAGTCTGCTTCTCCTTCTGACCCTCCCCCCTCTTGTGCTCTCTCTCTCTCTCTTTCTTTCTCTCTCTCTCACATAAATAAAATCTAAAAAAAAAAAATTAAAAAAAGGAAATTGAGGCTCAAAATCACACAGCAAGTGAATGGTGGGACCAGGTGGCTTGCCCAGGTCTATCTGCCCCTAGACAGACTCTGGCTTCTGCTCCTTGATCACTGAGCTTCCAAAACACCGGAAAAATGCAAAATATGCCGAGAACATAATCAGTAAATTCAAGTTACTGTGTCCTACATTTGTTTATTATATAGTAGAAATTCTTTGTTGTTTTGCTTTGTTGGGAAGAGTATTTTAAAATTTTGATTTTAATAAAACTTGTACAGAATTCACATGAGAATTATCCCCAGGCTTTTCGATGAATATAAATTGTTTGCATTCCATTTTCTTATCAGAGACACCAAAAATGATGTAAGATAAACATACTGATTTTTTTTAAAGTTCACTTTTATATTATTTATGTGAGACTAAGTCCAGGCAGGTTTGCCCCTACTTCTCTCCTGCCATCCTTAACCCCTGTTTTCTGAGAAATAAGGCATAGGTACAAATTTAGTTTTTGTAGTTTCTCTTCTTGGTCAATTATTTTTGCTTGTAAGCCAAAATTAGCATTACCAGAATTTTGGAAAATTTCGCTCTACAGCAGCTAAGGCGGATGGTCTCTGGATGAATTTTTCCTCATTAACCAGTGGGTATACTTGACTTTCAAGCCACCAAAACTTCTGCTCTCTGTTTCTGTTCAAAATGGCTAAAGAGGGCCAGCAAATTTACAACTAGCCCTATGTATGTGAATAAGCTTGAAGTACAAAAGAATAGTAGAGCTTCTGGAAAGTGTAGTGTCCCAAAGGGGAGGACATTATTTTTCAGTCAACATTTGTTCAAAAAACAGAAGTATCACCTTGACAGGGAATTAACCAAGTTAAGGCCTAATACTCAGATCCTTCCAGGTGTTTTAGCAAACTACATAGTTGGGTACCCTCTGGAAGAGCTGTTTCTATTCTCTTCTCACTGTGAGGAGTCCAGGCTCTATTTTTCCAAAATGAGAAGGCCATGCCAGTCTATTTTTACATGCTTGATGCAAAATATTTCTGGCCTTTTAGATCTCCAAGTTCATTCTCCATTCAGTGTACAAAATAATACGCCAGGAACATTCATGCTCCATGTGCTCTCTGCTCCTCTTCTGAGCAGGAAGGACCTGCTCCTACAGGGAGAAGCCAGCATGCTGCATCTGTATGTGCCATCACCCCTTGATCTGTCCTAACAAGTCCAAAGTTCTCGTCAGAGGATTCTCTGTGCCGTGAAATGCCTTTTTTTTTTTTTTGAAATGCCCTTCTTGATATGAATTTAGCCAAATCTGATATATCTAGTACATCTATCCACTAAACCATTTTCTCTTGGCTTACCGGATGATTCAGCTTCACTGACAGCTCTTATAAACCGGTGGCATACCTGATCAATTTGTTATTCTGCTTTTTGACACCAAATTGCTCCCCCCCAAAATCTTTCTTTTCTTGCGGTTAAATCAGTAAAAATAATAAAAATAAGGGATAAGTTGCTATTTTCAACACTTTAAAAACAATATTGCTCTCTGTCCCCTTCTCTCTCAACAGACTCCCATATATGGCAGCTGAGTAGAAACTCTGACTTGTGGTTGGTCCACATAAATTCACTCTCGCTAAACAGTGTGACACCTACAATTTTAGATTGTTCCAGAACTGCCGGCACCTTCACTTCCTGGAGCACCTTCAAGTGATCCGTTTTCATCGCATTCTTATTTGCAGGTTTGAGTTGCATAGTACTGACCCTCTAATTTATTTTTGACCTGGTATACTCTTTTACATCAACCATTTCTTAAGATGGCAAGCTCTTCAGATTGTCGTAAGTAATGTAAAGTCTGAGCTTCGAGGATCATGATGAACTCTCTCTTTAGCTGACTTCATTAAATGAGTCTCTGTAATACAGCCTCATCAAACTAAATATAAACTGGCAGGTAAAGGAGACAGCAGCTCCATTTTGATAAAAAGGTTTAACAAAGTAATTTAAGTGCCTGTCTGGAAGGACCCAGGCTTGGCAAAGGCATGTAACTCAGTAACTTCAGAAAAAAAGAAAAGGAAGAAAAAGCAAGATTTGTTTGCTCTCATAGCAATCCTTTTAGCACCTGGCATTCTACTGGAACATTTTGTTGGTTCATCCTCTATGAACACAGTGACATCATTGGGTACATGAAAGTCATGTGAAGATACACATTTCTAAAGAAAAATCAGTTATTTTAAAAACAGCCCAAAGATGATTTAACCATGCAGCAGCATTTATTTACATATTCGTCTGGAAACATGCCTTTTGATTTAGGCAAATAACTACGTGCTCATATTTTATCCCATGTCACCTTGGACATGTATGCAAAGTGAAGCACTAGCTATTAATGTATTGGCTGTATTAACAAAAAAGGAACTCCACAAGCAGTTCGGGATGCCATGTGTTTATCCATGTCATCAGGTATTTCAAATAGACAATGCGTTCAGTCCAATGATGGCTTAATTTTTTCCACCCAATTCATGGAACCAAAAGAAAGCTCTTGGAGGTTCATTCCTCACATGTAAGACCCAAACACTCACTGGAAACTGCCAAGACAACCAAACTCTTTCCAGTGTTATGCTTCGTGGTTGCAGACTGCACTCTCGTCTAGCACTGGTCACAGTCCGGCCGGCCAGCCCGCAGGGTGTGGCTCGACAGGTCTGAGTGCCACTGCATTTGGTTCAAACACAACAGTAATTCTCAATATTTTGGGGTTACAGACTCCTTTAGAAACTCATTAAATTCAATATATAAATCCTGCTCAGGAAAATTTTGCAAACAATTTGGAGGGCTTCACAGGTTATAAACTCCTCACATATTGGAAGATGGAAATACTCAATTAAAATGAGTAATAGAAATTAAGAACAAAAGTAAACAGGAAAAAAAGTCACAGAAACCTAGACATTAAATTAGAAAATATAAGTATACGCAGGCAATTATAACTCTCCTTTCCAAACGAGCTGCATTCTCCCCCAAAATCACTTAGAAGGAGAACCTTAGTATGTGCACTAATGTTAAGGATCGGAGAAGATCTGATGAATAGAAAGCCCCCTACACTATGAGCCAGAAGCTACAGTTATAATTCTAGCTCTGATCTCATCTCTTCTACCAACCAGCTGCATGACTGATTAGGGAACCTAATCCCTTCAGAGCTCATTCCTATTTTTAAAATGAGGAATTGCAGGAATTGCAAAAGATGTGTTACAAAGCACCACTGGTTCTCAAATTCTGTGGTGTATAAACAGAATAAAACATAAGAAAATTTTTAATTTTCCCTTTTTTTGGTTATAAATACATTCAGTAAGTCTCATTCAATATGGCAGAATTAGTATACAGAATGAGATAAATTTATGAGGGTTCCACAATACAAATGACTACTACCTCATTTAACTGCTCTGTACCTCAGTTGCCTTATGTGTAAAGGGAACGATAATAGCACCAACCTCATTAAATGACAATATACAAATAGCATATAGAACAGTGCCTGGCACATTGTAAATGCTGTGTGAGTGTTGACTACTGGTATCATAATCTGGGTTGGTGGAACATCCTCTGCCCACAACTGTCTTCATCCTGCGGCTATCTGCCGAGTCCCCGCCTTACAGAACAGCCACCATTAGAGCTCATGCAGTTGCTGCCCGACGGAGCCCCATCTGTCCCCCAGCACTGCAGGTGCTGTTCATGCAGTCTCTGCAGCTGAGGCTGAAATCGCACAGATGCCACAGAAAACTCTCCTTGCCCTTCTCCTCCCATCTTCCTGTCTCTGACTAATGCCACAGTCCCTGATGGATGCCATGGAATAAGGAGCACCCCCCCGCCGCCTGTCGCACACAGGATTCAGGAAAGTGAAGTGGGGGGACTGGAAGCTGAGGGAGGAAACTGTTTGTGTTTTTGCTGAGACTGGTGAAAGGGAAAATATGATAATTTTAGCCCCATGCCGTGAGAGAGAGAGAGAGAGACATGTTATTCCTAGCTGCCTGAGTTTCATGTTAGAATTCAGTCTCTACCAAGAATGTCATTTTTTATTATAAAGTTAGAAGGCTTTTGTTGGCTAACTCAAAAAACCTACCATTATAACATGAAAATCACTTTCAAATGGAAAACACATCCTGTTCGTTAGTCAAGGACTGCCTTTATTGCCATGGTTTTGGTCAAACTGATATTCTAACAGACATAATAGCATGTTTTAACTAATGCTATTATTCTGTCATATTAAATATATGAAAATATTCAAACAAGTAATGGGTCTGATTTAAGAAATAAATACATGTCTAAAATTATTTTTGGCAAAATATATTTTGCAGTTTCAAAAAAAAAATAAATGTATCAAACCTCTTTACCCTGGGCTACTTTCACTGTGACATACATATGAAGTGTAGCTTACATATAGGCAGACAAATTATATATGCTAACTCAAGAAAAAAATCTTTTAATTTTAAGAGACAATGATTGCCCTTCAGCTTGTTAGACTGGAACATACTATATCACCAACTTTGACAGTTTTTGCATGGATAAATTTGCACATATTTTTATATTTTAAAAATATCTCTTGGGGCGCCTGGTGGCTCAGCTGGTTAGCCTCGGACTTGGTTTTGGCTCAGGTCATAATCTCAGGATCCTGGGATGGAGCCCTGCATCTGGCTCTGTGCTCAGCAGGGAGTCTGCCTCTCTGCCTCTTTCTCCTTCTCCCTCTGCCCCTCCCCGCCCCGGACCAGCTGGAGCTCTCTCTCTAAAATAAATAAATAAAACTTTAAAAAAATCTCTTAAAATATGAAATCATACATCTGTTGTATTATATACATTTAACTTTTTGTTAACATTAAAGTCAGTTCAAATAAAATTCAAACAAATCCCTCAAAATTAAATTTTAAAAAGATAATGTATTATGTGAGATTATTAGACAATTTTAAAAAGTTGACACTTACTGTTAGAAGCCAGGATTCCAAATATCATAGTGGCATTTCTTCTTACAATTTTGTCTTCATGGGTGAGCAGTTTAGTTAAGGGTTCCACAGCTCCAAGTTCAAGGAGGGTAGCTTTATTTTCTTCACCTGATGTCACAGGTAAAATAAAATCATGCATGGCATCAATCTCATCAAAACTCTTCCTTGTGTCATTTTAATTTCTTATTTGCCATTTGCCTTTCACATTCCTCTTTGCTTCCACATATATTTCTCTCGGAATAAACTTTAGAGCACAGGTAGCCTGGGCAATAGTTGCTCTCCTTCCTCCTGCTGTTGACAAAGCTGGCTTCCTCTTGTCATTCAGTTCTTAGTTCACCCTGCACCTGCTCAGAAGGGTCTCCCCTGACCACCCTATGTAATGTTATCACTACATCCAAGCCTTGCTTACCCTTCTTTAGTCTACCTTCTTCATAACACTTGGCGATCTCCTTGAACACTTTGCCTGTTCCACTCTAACTGAATTTTCCATGAGGACAGACACCCTTTCCGCTCTGTTCTCTCATACCCTCAGTGCCTAGCATAGTGCTAGTCATGGATTGGCATAATTAATCACAAGACTTAATTAACATACACAGTCCCCACTTTGAGTTAAAGTGGGATGGTGGGGTGAGTTCAGGGGGTTCATCTTTCACCCAACGGGGTTACAGTCCTATTTTATCAGGCAAGATGTGCCTGCAGCTAGCATGAAGGTATGTGCACAGAGGGGAGACGCCGGGGTCACTCGGGACTCCTTAGCTGTGGCAAGAAGCCCCAGAACAGAACCAGAAGGCCAGATAAGGCCAGAGTCCTGCTTCACTGTAGAAGCAGTTTGTCCATATCTTGATGAGCAGGATAGCATTCTACAAAGTCAGGAATAATGTTTAGGTCCTGATTAATTTCAGCTTTTCAATTTCACAGGCAATGAAAATACATTTTCACTTTCACTTTCAAAATTAATTTGAGAGTATAATAAAGTCATTTTAACTTTTCTTGCCTTAGTTTTCTCATAAAATTAGAGTATTTTATATTTTAAGTTATAGGTCCACATTCTGATAAGACACAGACTATAGCTTCGTAGAGCCCATGGAATTGCCCTGTATCTAAATGATCAAATCTGTCGCCTGGTAAGAATATGTTGAAATATGCACTGTTGACTCTTACAAACTTCTTTTCAAATCTTCCAATATTTGTATTTTATGGAAATTTAAAACTTAATTTCTTAGATGAAAACATTTGTCAAATGAAACTTAATTTAAGATACTAATGCTTAAGTAAAAACATATTTTAATTATCAGATTGTTATAAAAATTGAAAGTTCCTTTAAATTTTCATTCTGAGGCTTTGATTACTTTTATTAACTTGAATTATTTCTTCATTAAAACATATTTCTTCTTTTTTTTTTAATTTTTTTATTGTTATGTTAATCACCATATATTACATCATTAGTTTTTGACATATTTCTTCTTTTTTAAATAATGCTATATATTATAACTTTATGATCAGAAGAGGATTTGCAAAATTAACAACCTGTGTCATCTTTTACATCTATTTTTATTCTTTTTTAACAGCTTTAATGAGATGACATACAATAGACTGCACATATTTAAACAAAACGACTTGATAAGTTTTGACATGTGTTTAACACCCATGAAACCAAATGCCACCATGAAGAACATATCTAACACCCCCAAAAGTGCCCTTTTGACACTTTGTGATCTCTTCCTCCTATTACTATACATTATTTTGCATTTCCCAGAACTTTATATAATCATGCAGTATGAATTCGTTATTGCCTGGTTTTCTCACTCAGTCTAATTATTTTGAGATTAATTCACGTTGTAGCATGTATCATAGTTCATCCTATTTATTGTTATTTACTATTCCATTATATGGATATATCATGATTTGGCTGGATCATATATGTTTGGTGTACATTTAACTTTTCGAGAAACTGCCGAACTGTTCCAAAGTGGATGCAAAAGTTCCAATTTTTCCCCATCCTAGCCAACACATCTGTCCATCTTTCTGATGATAGTAATCTTAGAGGGTGTGAAGTAGTATTTCATCATGGTTTTAATTTGCATTTCCCTCACAACTAATGATGGTGAGCAAAAGGTACGCTTATGCCATCCATATATCTCTTTGGTGAAGTCTGTTCAAATCTCTTGCTCGTATGTATTTTTAAATTTGGTTTGTTTTATTATTGAGTTCTGAGGGTTCTTTATATATTCTGGACGCAAATCTTTTATCAGATATATGATTAACAAAAATTTTCTTGTGGTCTATGGAGTATCTTTTAAAAAAATTACTAGACTTTTTTTGAGCAGTTTCAAGTTTATTAAAAAATAAACAGGGGTGCCTGGGTGGTTCAGTCCGTTAAGCAGCTGACTATGGATTTAGGTCATAATCTCAGGGTCCTGGGATCCAGTATTGTGTTGGGCTCTGGGCTCTCTCCCTCTGCCCTTCCCCCACACCTCTGCTCATGCTCTCTCTCTCTCAAATAAATGTCTTTTTAAAAAAATGAACAAACAATACAGAGTTCTCATATACTCTATCCCCCTTCCCTCCCCCGTTTCTCTTATTATTAACATCATGCATTAGTGTGGTACATTTGTTACAATTGATGAACCAATATTGACACATTACTATTAACTAGAGTTGATAATCTACATTATGGTTCACTATATGTGCTGTACAATTCTATAGGTTTTGAGAAATGTATAAGATTATGTTTAGCTTTCTAAGAAACTACCAAATCATCTTCCAAAGTACCTGTACTATTTTGGACTCCTACCAGCAATGAGTGAGAGTCCCTGTTGTTCCACATCTTCACCAGCATTTTATGTTGTCAGTGTTTAAAATTTTAGCCATTCTAATAGGTATGTAGTGATATTTCATTATTGCTTTAATTTGCAATTTCCTGATAATATATGATGTCTTTTCACGTGCTTATTTGCCATCTGTGTATCTTTTTTGGTGAGGTGTGTGTTTGGGGTAAATTTGATAAAATCCAATCAATTGTCCTCTTATGGATTATGTTTTAGTGTCATATCTAAGAAACTTTTGGCTAACCCAAATACTCTTTTGGTAGCATCCCACAAATTTTTATATGTTATGTTTTCATTTTCAATTTGGATTTTCCTTTTGAATTCTTTCACTGACAGATTATTTATAAGTGTGTAGTTTACTTTCTACTTAATGATTGTCCAGAGTCCTTTGTGTTAAGTGATTTTCAATTTAATTCTATTGTGGTATGACATATATTTTATATGATTGGAATTCTTTTAAAATAAATTTATTAAGGCTTGTATTATGGCTCAGAATATCACCTATTCTGATAAATGTCCTGTTTGCATTTGAAAAGAATGTTATTCTGCTTGGAGTGTTCTATAAATATCAATTAGGTTAAATTCATTTTTATTGCTGTTCAAATCTTTTATATTCTTACAGATTTGCTATTCATTTGTTCTTTCTTTTATTAATAGAAGGTTATTAAAGTCCTCAGCTATAATTGTGGATGTTTATTTCTCCCTGCTTTCTAACTTCATGTATTTTGAAGCCCTGACATTATAGGTTTTTTCATAGCTTCTTTTTTTCTTTTATTTAAATCCAGTTTAGTTAACACATACTGTAATATTAGTTTCAAGGGTAGAATTCATGATTCATCAGTTGCATATAACACCCAGTGCTCATTACATCACGTGCCCTCCTTCATGCCCATCACCCAGTTACCCCCTCCCCCCACCCACCTTCCCTCCAGCAACCCTCAGTTTGTTTCCTAGAGTTAAGAATCTCTTATGGTTTGCCTCCCTCTCTGTTTTCATCTTATTTTATTTTTCATAGCTTCTTGATTAATTGACTCTTTTATTATTATAAAATGAGGTTTTTTATCTGATACTACTCCTTTATTATTCTGATATTAGTGTAGCCACTCCGGCTTTCTTTTTTTTTTTTTTTTAAAGATTTTATTTATCCATTTGAGACACAGAGATACAGAGAGAGAGAGAGAGAGAGCGAGAGAGAGCATGAGCAGAGGGAGAGGGAGAGGGAGAGGGAGAAGCAGGCTCCCCACTGAGCCAGGAGCCCAACGTGGGGCACGATCCCAGGACCCTGGGATCATGACCGGAGCAAAGGCAGACGCTTAACCATCTGAGCCACCCAAGGCACCCGTCCAGCTTTCTTTTGATTAGTGCTAATATATCTTTTTTTATCCTTTTACTTTCAAGATATTTGTGTCATTATATTCTAAGTGCATTTATTGGATGCAGCATGTAGTTTGGTCTTGATTTTTATAGACTATAAAACTATCTCCTTGTTAATTGAGTACTCAGCCCATTTACATTTAGTTGGATTATTGACAACATTAGGTTTGAGTCTACCATCTTGTTATTTGTTTTTTGTGTGTCTCATTATTCTTTGTTTTCCTTTTTTTCATTTCTGCCTTCTTTGTATGAATTGAATATTATTTTTATAATTCCATTTCATTTCCTTTGTTGGCTTATTTGATATTACTGTTTGTTATTTTAGTGGTTGTATTAAAGTCTGTAGTATACATCCTTATCACAGTCTACTTTCAAGTTGGGATAGAGCACTTCACATATAGTGCAAGAACCTTACAATAGTATATACTTCCATTTTTCTACTTTCTACCTTGGTTCTGTTGTTGTCATATATCTTATTTTTACAAGTGCTTCTGCACAGTAAATGATTACTATTTTTGTTTAAGATAACCAATTTGATTCTTCAGTGATTTAAATAATGAGAAAAAAACTTTCTGTTACCATTTCTAATGTTCTATCTTTATTATTTTGTGTAGATCCACATTTCCATCTGGTATCATTTTCCTTCTTCCTGAAGGACCTACTTTACTATAATTAGTAGTGTGGGTCTGCTTGCAATAAACTACTTCAGCTTTTGAATGTCTGAAAGAGACATTATCTCACTTATGTTGTTGAAAGATATTTTTGCTGGGAATAAAATTCTAGGTTTAAAGTTTTTATTTTTCTTTCAGTATTTTAAAGATGCTACTCCACTGACTTCTTGCTTGCATCATTTGTGATGATAAATCTACAGTCATCCTTATTTTTGTTCCTCTGAACGTAATGTGCTTTTTCCCCTGGCTTCTTTTTAAGATTTTCTCTTTATCACTCTTTTCAAACAATTTGATTTTGTTGTACCTTGGTGTAATTTTCTTCATATTCATTGTGCTTGGGTTTTTACGAGCATCTTGGATCTGGAAGCTTAGAGTTTTCGTCAAATTGGGGAAATTCAGAGCTATCATTTCTCCTAATACTTTTTCTGTCCCTCTCTCTTCTTTTTCAAAGACTCTAGTTACACATACATTGTGTCAGTTTTTATTTACTGATGATTTTATATCCTCATTAGGAGTTATATTTTCCTGCTTCTTTTCATGCCTGGTAATTTTTTATTGGATGCCAGACATTGTGAATTTTACCTAGTTGGTAAATGGTTATTTTTGTATTCTTCAAATTTGTTTTGGGACACAATTATCTGGAAACAATTTGATCACTTTAGGTCTTGCTTTTTAAAATATTTATTAGGTAGTACTAGAACAGAGCTCGATCTAGGGCTAATTATTTCTAACCATTGAAGCAAGACCCTTCTGTGTATTCTACACAATTCTCCATGAATATTGAGATTTTCTAGTCTGGCTGATAGAAACAGGCACTATTTGTGGCCCTGTGTGAGCATCAGGCACTGTTAACTCTGATCATGTTAAGTGCTTTGTCTGACTTCAAGTAGTTCCCATATATATACCTCCTTATCAGTACTCAGCTGAACACTTGAGTCGGACCCTTTGCCTATCTCCTGAGTTCTCTTTCTGTGAAACTCTTTCCTCTCTGTTACTGAAAACTCTTGCTGCCTTTGTCTCCCTGATCTCTGAGATCTGTCTTCTCAACTCAGAGTCCACCAAGCTCTGTACAAGTTACCCCTTCCTGTGATGTGGCCTGCAAATTCTCTGAAATCAATAAGCTGGGGTAATCATAGAGTTTATTTCCCTCATTTCCTATCTCTCAATGGTCACTGTCCTTCATTGCCTAATATCCAGTGTTTTGCCCACTGTTATTTCATAGATTTTTGTTTTCTTAGTTGTTTCAATCAGGAAAGTAAATTTGACCCCTTGGTCCATCATGGCCAAAAGGCAACGTCCTATCATTTATCTTAAGAACACAGTCAGAAAATACTGCTAGTATAAAATACCAGACTTACAGTAATTTCTGTATTGACTTCACATAAAATATATGCCTATCTATTTCTTTACCTCATGTCATATAAAAAAGATGGCATTTGATAACTCTGCATGGCTGAGTGAGACTCATGTTGCCATAACTGCATGATCCAATGTCTCCCTGATATCTGGCCCAGAATTCTACACAATTACTCATGAACCATACCTGCCAGAAGCAACGATTCTGGTTTTTATCTGGATTCCCAATGATGACTAGAGTGATATAGCAAGGTGATTATTTCACCATTTGCTACTTGAGTGATTTGTTGTTTTCTCATACAAGTCCCAAAACAATGTTTAAAGTATCATTTCCTTAAATATCAAATTGCTCCCTTCTTAGTTTAAAAGGTTTTGTTAAAGATACCAAGTTGTACTAAACTCTTCAAGTATTCTCAATTAAAATGTTATACAGTATAATAAAAGTCTACTTTTATCCACCACTTGGAATGAACTAAAATATAATTGTCATTTATGTTTGTAAACCCTCTATGAATAAACCTTGCAAGAGAACCTAACTTGTACCATGTATAGTGTTTTAATAAACTCTATTTTTTATAACAGTTTTAGTTTTACAGAAAAATTGCAAGGATAGTACAGTTACCACATATCCCATACCCATTTTCCCCTGTTATTAACATTTTGCATTAGTGGGTACATTTGTTACAATTAATAAACCAATATTAATATGTTACTATTAATTAACATCCATGTTTATTCAGATTTCCTTACTTTTAGCCTAATGTTCCTTCTCTGTTCCAGGATCCTATCCAGGGTCCCCTGTGACATTTAGTCATATATCCTCAACTCCTCTTGGCTGACAGTTTCTCAGACTCTTCTTGTTTTTGATAGCTGTGACAGTTTTGAGGAGTACTGGTTAGACGTACTATATCTAGTACGTCTAGAATGTCCCTGACTTGGAACTTGTCTGATTTCAGGGTTATAAGTTTTGGGGAAAAATAACAGAAGTGCCATTTTCATTACATCATGTCAAGTTCACATATTATCACTATGACTTATCACTGTTGATGCTGATTTTGATCACCTGACTGAATAGTGTTTGTCAGGTTTCTCTACTATAAACCTACTCTTTTTTCCCTGTTTCCATATTGTAATCTTTGAAAAGAAGTCACTATGCAAAGCCCATACCTAAAGAGTGAAAAGTTATATTCTGCCTCCTTCAGGTCAGAGTACATAAATTATTTGGAATTCTTCTGCATGGGAGATTTGTATTTTCTCTCCCATTTATTTATTTATTCAAGTATTTTTTTTATATCAGTATAGGCTTATAAACATTTATTTATACTTTGGGTTATAATCCAATACTACTTTATTTTCTTGCTCAAATTGTTCCAGCTTTGATCACTGGGAGCTCTTGCAGCTCCTGTGACTTACAATTTTTTAAACAACAATAAAACTTTCAACATGACTATTCTATGCAGTGACTAAATTACTCCTCAAGATTAAGATAGGCACTTAGGGAGATATATTAGTTTCAGGTAATGCATTAAATGATATTCTGGTTGTCTGAAAGAATTCATCTGACAAGAAGTGAATTAAAGACTAGGGAGAAAGGGCCCTTTACATAGTAAATATTTTAAGAAACTAATGAAATAGAAAAATAAACTGAAAAAAAACCAAACCTTTTAAAGCAAATCTATAAATGGCTTCACATGCTTTAGCCAAAATTTCTTCTTCTGGAGAATTAAGCATTAACACCACAGTTGCTGCTTTTTTGCTTTCAATCGTTAATGGATCAAACTGAAATGTAGAGAGAAAAAAATGTCAGGTTCACATATGAGCTTTAAAAAACACATAAAAAATGAATGGTGTCTAGAAACTCAAAGAGAACATAATCATGCTAAAAGGATGTAGTCACTGCCCACGAAGTGCATTGTAAAGTTTTTATTTAAAAAACATCACTGATAGATAGTTGCCAGTGTTGGTGGCTTTGGAATTCCTGGAGTAATGGCAGGAAGAGCAAAGCATTCTGGAATCTGACAGACCTAGTCTCTCAACTTAGCCATGTGGAATCAAACAAGTTACTTAAGCTGCTAGAATTTCAGTTTTCCTTTCCTGTATAATGTGTATAATGATACCTATTCTTCCTGAAGGATCAAGGAGAGTATTAGAGATCATATATGTAATGCACTTAGCACATTGTCTGGCACATAATAGATGATCATTAAATAACATATACTAGCATAATTCTTAGTTGATACACAAGAATCCTTGAGTACTTGTATATATTAGATGCCCTGACAGTCCTAATAATCAGTACTTGCTTCTAATCACTATTCTTTCTGAGAAAGCAGAAATTACATATATGAAATAACTAAAAAACAATAGAAAACTGCATATAACAAAATGTAAAATTGGATAAAACCTGAAACAGATTTTATGGTAATGGTAAAATGGTAATACGGTGTAAAGAAAAAGTGTATAGCTCTAGGAAGATCTCTATTGTGTTATGAGATCTTGAGAATTCATGGCTAGGCAAAATGCACAATAACAAATTCACGGCTCCTATGGGTTTTCTTTTGTCAAGGTGAAAACAAATTATTACACCATTTTTCTTCCATTTCCAAGAGACTGGTGAAGGAGGGTGCTCTGCTTATGTTAAAGGAAAAAAAATGAATTTCAAAGTTTTAGCTGGCTCTTTGTGTTGGCGCTTCCTAAATGGACATCTTATTGTGTCTGGGGATATAATTAAAATTGGTGTTCAGTTCCAGGCTGAGAATGGAGGGACAGATTACTCTAAGTAAGGAAGCATAATTGTGTGAGGTTGGGAGAGTGAAGACAGAGAAGAGAGCAGTAAGCAATGACCTAAAAGGGCACAGCTGGGATAAAAATCCCCCTTGCAGGGGAAATGACTGTTGGATTTCAGGACAGCATTATCTAACATCCAAATTAAAGCTGTTGTTTGTGTATGTCTTACTCTATACTAGAAACTCTAAGAGTTACAAAAGTCATAGTGTTTGTTCTCAAGCCTCTTGGACTCTTTCTGGGGAGATAAAACTTCATTAAAAGTCTGCCAGGGGTGCCTGGTGGCGCAGTCGGTTAAGTGTCTGCCTTCAACAGGTCATGATCTCAGGGTTTTGGGATCAAGCCCTGTAATCAGGCTCCCTGATCAACGAGAGTCTGCTTCTCCCTCTCCCTCAGCCACTCTCCCTGCTTGTGCTCTCTCTCTTGCTCATAAATAAATTAAAAAATCTTAAAAAAAAAAAAAAAGTCTGCCACATGCACCAAGCTTGTGGCACTTGTGGTTTTCCAGTGACGTGAACCAGTGAGAAAATATGGCCCCTCTAGCAGAGCCCAGAGCAATGGCAAAGACACTGGCTTCAACACCGATCAGAAGAGCACAATGGCCCAGAAATCCACAGAAATTTTAAGGGAGGACTTCTGAAACTATTTGGGGATTAAGGCTTGAAAACCATCAGGCACTCATAAAGTCAACAAGTATATTAACTATATATTTAAAGAAATTACTTGGCAAATGCTCCAGCCCAAACTGAGGAAGACAAAATATAAAAACAATAGTAGTAGATCAATAAATACAATAAAATATATAGTTAAGCTGAATGATAGTGATGTTGTGAATCACAATGTAATTCTTAAGGATTTCTGAAGTAAAAATGACACATTATGAGAAAAAAATTAAAAATGACTTGGAATTAAAATTCTAGAAATTTTTCAACAAAGCTCATGTAAAGGAAACAGGATTGTTTTGGTAAACAGAACGAGATTATTGCCCAGTTATAACTTATTTTTTACATTGATATAAAAAGCAGGCTTAAATATGTGTTTAATAGACTACAGATAAGTAGTAGAAGTTCCAAATTATCAAAAGGAAAGGGTAACAAATGAAAGTTGCTCAATTTAGAAAAAGGGAAGAAAGTACAAAAGAGACACAACATGAAAATATAGCAAAGAAACATCTTAAACTTAAAATAAACCTTAAACTTAAAATAAAATGATAGGAATAAAATCAAATCTATCAATGGCCAAAATAAACATCTATAGGGCCAGTAGATTTCATTAATTAAGATTGTCAGATTGAGTTAAAAAGCAAAATCTACTCTGTTTTTTGTATATTGGTGCATATTTCTTCCACTTGATCTTACAGAATACAAATTCAGATCTAAGATATAGAACATTTCTATCACCGCCTGACGCTCCTTCCCCCTCCAAAAAATCCCCAGAAAGATCATCGTTACATGACTTTTAAAATCATAAATTAGTTTTTCCTGTTCTTAAACTTTATATAGAGAATATATATGTATATTTATATAATATATATTCTATAACATATCAAATATATATATATAATTTATATATAAAGAGAATCATAGAACATGACTTTTACCTCTGCCTTGTTTAGCACAGCACATCTCTGAGATTCATTCACATTTTTGTACTAAGTCATACTTTCTATAGCTGTATATTATTCTGTTGTATGAATGTTTGGATTCTTTCAGTTGGAGGCAATCATGAACAAAGCTGCAATGACTATTCTTGCACATGTCTTTTTGTGGATATGTGTCTTCATTTCCCTTGGGCACATACCGAGGCATGGATTTGATGAGTCATAGGCTAGATACGTATTTACCTTTCACGGATACTGTTGAACAGTTTTATCAATTTATATTCCCACTAGTTATAAATAAGAGTTCCAGTTGTCCCACATCCTCACCAATCCTTGGTATTTTCAGTTTTTTTAATTTGCCTTTCTATAGCTCTTAGATTATATTTTTAAGTCAATCTGCTTTTCATGGTTGTTGCAGTGGAAGAAATGCTCTATTGCTCTATATTACTATTACTGCATCCTAGCCAGAAACAGAAGCCTTCTCATCACTTTAAAAATTCTCTTATGTCCCTTCTACTGACTCTGACTCAATACGTCCATCTATCTCTCAGTTTTGTCTTCTGCCATCATGCTTGATACTCCATCAATTTTTCTTTGCTTCCTCACAGAGAGGTTTCCTGTAGCGCCCACAATGTTCAGTCTTTGAGGATTTCTTGGTAGCCATCAAGCAAATGGTGGAAGATAAAGCTTCACTGTTCAGCTACTCCTGCTACAGCTATTCCTTCTCCTCCTCCTCATTGGGGTCCCCACCCCATTCACTCCCTCTATTTCCACTTCAGCTCTCTCGTTTCTTCACTTTACTTCTTATCCTGCTTAGATTTCATGATCTATTATCTTAATAACACGTCTGCCAAACCCTAAATAAACCTTTGTGTCCTTCTGTCTTCTCATCAAATCAATTTATTTTTTTAAAGATTTTATTTATTTATTTGACAGAGAGAGAGAGAGAACATAAGTAGGCAGAGCAGCAGGCAGAATTAGAGAGAGAAGCAGGCTCTCCGCGGAGGAAGGAGCCCGATGTGGGGCTCGATCCCAGGACCCTGGGATCATGACCTGAGCCGAAGGCAGCTGCTTAACCAACTAAGCCACCCAGGCGCCCCTCATCAAATCAATTTAAAATACCCAAACCATGAACAGACACTAGAAATTTCTTTCTTTATATTTGTGCTCAAGCATCCGAGCATTCTAAGAGAATGTTAAACTACAGGGAAAATTAGTATTACTGTAAATTCATGATCAACAAATTCACAAGAGCCTCACATATTCACAAGAGCCTCTGCACATACTCTTCTATTATATTAAAGAAAATGTTTCTTCTACTATCTCAGCCCAATATCTAATGTGTGCTTTGGATTTTTAACCCATTCATCTTTAATTCACTCATTCATTCAATAAACACTCATTCAACTCCTATTAAGTGCATTATACTGAGAAGAGCGCATTAAACAAGATAACCAAGTCCCCCACTCCCATAGAACATACATATTCCCCATTATGTCATACTATTAATCATCCCTTTTTTCTCTTGAGTAGTCACCTTCCTCCTAACAATTAAATTATTCCCATTACTTAGTTTGAGTCCACTTTACAGAGGGCCAATTTAGATTCAGTAAAATGCACCTATGATGAGTTTTAATAAATGTATATGTATGTATAGCCAATGATATGTGGAACTTTCCATTACCCCAAAATATTTGCTCCCACCTCTCTGCAGTTGATTCCCTTTCCCATAATCACTCTAGGCAACCACTGATCTGCCTCCTTTCACTATAGATTAACTTTGTTTAATACGAAATTATTACATCAGTACCCTTTATGTATGGCTCCTTTCATTTGGCAGAATGCTTATGAGATTCATTCAGATTGTTCCATGTATCAGTGATTCATTCCTTTTTACTGATGAGTGATATCTCATTGTATGAATACAACACAATTTGTTTATCCATTCAATTAGCTGATGGACCTTTGGGTTGTTTCCATTTGGGACCATTATGAATAAAGCTGCAATGAGCATTTTCATATAAGTCTTCTTGTAGATATGTGCTTTCATTTCTCTTGAGTAAATACCTAGGAGTAGAATTTCTGGCTTGCTCTGGTAGTGAATGTTTAACTTTACAAAAAAATATTTTTTTTTCCAAAGTAGTTTTACTATCTTGTGTTCCCACCAGCAATGTATCTGTATCCAACAATAGATACCTCTTCACTTATTTGTCTTCTTTGTCTCAGCAATGTTTTATAGTTTTCAGCATATAAGCATTGCATTTATTTTGTTAAACTTATCTCTAAATATTTCATTATTTTTGATGCTAATGGCAAATGATATCTTTTTTCTCCATGTATTTTTTTTAAAGATTTTATTTATTTATTTGACAGAGAGAGAGACAGCGAGAGAGGG